TCCTGCCTCAGCTTCCCAAGTAACTGGAACTACAGGCACCTGCCACTATGCCTGGCTAATTTTTCTTATTTTTTGTAGAGACAAGGGCTGGCTATGTTACCCAGGCTGGTCTGGAACTCCTGAGCTCAAGTGATCCTCCCACTGTAGCCTCCCAAGTTACAGGCATGAGCCACTGTGCAGCCTACATTCGTTTTTAACCTCAATGATAATGACAATATGCTTTATATACATTATCGTATACAGTAACCCTGAAAAGTAAATAGATCTATTTTATAGAGGAGAAAAAAGGCACAGACTATCCTAAGTTGCATGAATTGATAAAGTATACCGATATTGCATGTAGAAAAGTTGGAACTAAAAGATTTATTTACCATCTCTGCTTTTAAGGGCCTTTCTGGGAGGGATGGAGCTCTATCCCTAAAAAAAGTGATAACAGCCACAAGCTTCTAGAACTTGAATTCTGTTACATTGCAAACGATACCATTTGTATACCATAGACAATGTGGTGCACAGACTCCCTGCAAAGCTCTAGATTAAGGCTCACTGTAATCACTCCGTCTTTGCCCTAGACAGTGCAACTTCTTTCATTCATGGAGGTTGTGGTATTTTAGAAACTCCTTTCTGATGAAGGAATTCTCAGTAGGATTTGTTTGGTAATTTATTGGCAGGAATTTACAAACCTAGTGGAGAAACAGTAATGCCTTTGAAAATTACTGAATCATACCATAATACATAAACTTTCGTTGTATAATGAATGATGAGATCCAACTTTGTTTAATTTGGTGGTGTATCCTGACTCTAGAACAGTCTAGTGTGATAGACACTTAGTAATTGAAAGAAAGGATTGCGAAAATCCACATGCACATTAAAAGGGAAAAAGCACTGGATTGTGAATACAAGGATTGGATAGTCTACTCTGCTTCATTTTTATAAGTAAGGAAAGTGGGTCCCGAGAGATCGAGTTAGAATACGTTTCTATAGACTTCATTTTTTAGAATAGTTTTAGATTTACAGAAAAACTGAAAAGTACAGAGAGACTTTATATACCACATGTAGTTATTAACATCATCATACCTTAGTATGTTATACCTCAGTGTGGTACATTTGTCATGATTAAAGAACAGATAGTGGTATGTTAACTAAAGCCCATACTTTACTCAGATTTCCTTAGTTTTTACCTGATGGCCTCTGTCCCACCTGTGCATCCAGGATGATAACACATTACATTTAGTCACCATGTCTCCTTGGGCTCTTGTAGACTGTGAGACTTTTGTTGTTTTTGATGACTTTGACCGTATTGCAGAGTACTGGTCACATATTTTGTAGAATGCACCTCTGTTGGAATTTAGTGTTTTTCTCATGATCAGACCGGGGTTTTGGGTTTTAGGGAGGAAGACATAGAGGTAAAGTGACATTTTCATCACATATTTAGGGTACATACTATCAATGTGATTTACCAGTGTTAATGCTGACCTGAGTCACCTGGCTGAGGTGTTGTTTGTCAGGTTTCTCTGTTGTAAAGTTACTCTTCTCTCTCTTTTCATACTGTACTGTTTGGAAGGGAGTCCCTCTATGTGGCCCACACGTAAAGGGTTATGCTCCCTTTCTTTGAAGGTAGAGTATCTACCCTCCAGAAATATTAAATTGTTTTAATTCTCCATGAGAGATCTGCCTTTTCTCTCCTATTAATTAATTCAGTCATTTGTTAATATCGGTATGGGCTCATGGTATTTTATGCTATGGGTTATAATCAAATACGTCTTTGGTTCTTAAATTGTACCAGCTTTGGCCATTGGGAGCTCTTCCAGTTGGCTGCTGTGTCCCTTTGGCTTACTCCATCAATGTAGAGTTTTTATTTTGTTTTACTTACTTTCTGGAACTTCAAAATGTTTCAGGTTCTTCATCTTGTATATTTTCTGCACCAGTCGTAGAATAGCCTTTTTTCCTCCATGGAACCTTGGTTCCTTTTATTGGAGAATGGTATTAGAAACTAAGATCTTGGGCTAGGTATGTTCAGTGCTACTAGTGTTATGATACATTTTTAAAACTATCTTTTAAGATAATTTTATGAGTACTGTGTAATTCTGTTCCATACTGTTCTAATCTCTGTGAATAATTTAGAGTATTCAGAAAGCGTTGGCATTTCATTAAGCACCAGTCTTTTCCTTGCGGTACCGCTTAGACGTCTGGGCTAATTAGTTATTGTCTAGTTTAAAATTTAAAGTGCTTAACCTTTTGATTTCCAATAATTAGAATAAAGGAAAAAGATCCAACAATGTAAGTTAGATATGTGCTTAAATTATAGATTCTTCATCATTTATTTCTAAGTACTAGCACAGAGGCATTTTTCCTCCTAGGGAAAATTTGAATATGTAATGAAGATAAAAATATGTAAACATCTATTCCCCAAAAGGTAATACACACACAAGGTTCAAAAATAAAAGTAATCCAAAAAGACATATGTGGAGAAGTCACATTCTCATCCAGTTTCCATCTAACCTTTTCCCAATGTCCATTTTAGGCAACCATTTATATTAGTTTCTTGTGTATCCTCTAGTATTTCTTTTGTGAATACAAATATATTTTCTCTCCTGTCTTACATATAAATTACTATCCTAGAAATATATAGTACTAATTGGTTTCTGCAGGTAATATTGTCTGATTATAGAACAAAAACATTTTAGAGTTAAAAGGAGCCTTCTATTTTAACTCATTTGCTATAGTTTGAATGTTTGTCCCCTTGAAAACTCACGTTGAAACTTAATCCCCAGTGTGGCAGTATTGAGAGGTGGGGCCTTTAAGACGTGATTGGGTCATGAGGGATGGGTTTATGGATCAATGGGTTATTAACGGGAGCGGGACTGGTGGCTTTATAAGAAGAGGAAGAGAGACCTGAGCTTAGCACTCTCAGCGATGCCCTGCACTGCTTCGGGACTCTGCAGAGGCCCCACTGGCAAGGCCCTCACCAGATGTGGTTCCTTGACCTTGGACTTCTCAGTCTCCGTAACTGTAAGAAATAAATTCCTTTTCCTTATAAATTACCCACTTTCAGGAATTCTAAGTAACAGAAAATGGACTAAATCCATTTATTAAAACTTTTATTGAGCTCCTGTGGATGCCAAGTACCACATGGGTGGAGATGAATCAAGGAGCTCACAGTCTGGTGAGAAATTCCTTTGACAGCAGTTTCTCCCTGTGTAGCCTCAGCTGAAATTGAAGATGGGGTGTTCACTACCTTCAGAGACTGTTCTCTTCACTAAACAGTTTCTGTTTTTGTTTTCCTAATGATGAGCTGAAACTTGTAACTTGTATCTCTTCTGGTTTGGACTTCTGTATCATGATGAAATGATGAGGAGATAGATTATGTCTTCTCTCAGTCCAGTAATTCACAAGCTAGACATAGATCACCAATATGAGAATTTTTTTCACTCTCCAATTAATCAAGAGGTACTCCCACCCCACCCCCCTTGACCAATATCTTTTAGGGTTTGAGTGATGAACTTGCCCTTGAGGATGTTGATGAGGGAAAACTGAAGGGTGAGACAGTGGATCTTCAACATGGCAGCCCTTTTATGAAAATGCCAAATATTGTCTCCAGCAAAGGTTAATGTCATAGTTTAAATATTATACATGTACTAATACTACATAAAAAATCTAGAAGATCATCTTTATTTCCTTTGACCTCCTCAGTTTTTATAGATAAGGCTGGTTGCTCCCTACTCTGTACTCTTTTTTTTTTTTTTTTTGAGACAGAGTCTCACTTTCTTGCCTGGGGCGAGTGCCGTGGCATCAGCCTAGCTCACAGCAACCTCAAACTCCTGGGCTCAAGCAATCCTACTGTCTCAGCCTCCTGAGTAGCTGGGACCACAGGCACGCGCCACCATGACCGGCTAATTTTTTCTACATATATTTTTAGCTGTCCAATTAATTTCTTTCCATTTTTTTGGTAGAGACGGGGTCTCGCTCTTGCTCAGGCTGGTCTCGAACTCCTGAACTCAGAACGATCCGCCCGCCTCGGCCTCCCAGAGTGCTAGGATTACAGGCGTGAGCCACCGCACCCGGCCCCCCTACTCTGTACTCTTAAAACATGTTCAGATTCATTAGGTTGTACTTTGTTTACAAGATTTCCTATAGCACAGGACTGAGTTCTCTGTGAGCAGCAGAAATAGTAGTTACCATGATAGCTATCATTAATTAATGGTCAGTTGTGTGCTAGACACTGACTTAAGCACTTTATATTATTTAATCCTGTGCACAACTTTGTGTCTTACAGATGATGTACCTGCAAACTGAGGTTAAATAAAGCGATGGAGTAGGGATTTTAACCCAGTTCTGTTTGACTCCAAACCCTAAGCTCTTCACCACTATCCTTTATTCACTTGGCCCCCAGGAAATAATTATTTGAACAAATGAATAAACCAAGGTCTCCCTGGTCAAAGGTCTTTTCACACCACTTCTATCTCTAAGTAAATATTCTTCATTTACCAGACTAATCCACATTTTGACCTCTTACTCTAAATAGTACAAAAGACATGTTAGGAGGTTTTTTTTTTTTTGTTTTTTTTTTTTTTTTTAAATAGACAGGGTCTCATTGTGTTGCACAGGCTGGACTTGAACTCCTGGGCTCAGGTGATCATCTCTCGTCAGCCTCACTAGCAGCTGGAACTACAGGCATGTGCCACCGCTCCTGGCTTAGGTTTTTGTTTTTTAATGGACAAGGAAAACTTAGAACTAATTTCCTTAAATTAAAAGAGTACTATGAGCATAGTATAAGATTTAAGGGAACCCGCTCTTCGGTAAACCTAGTATGGTGATTGAAGTCAACAGGAAATGTGTACTTGAATGTCAGATGTTTTCTTTCATAATCTGTTTTTTCTTCAAATCTTTCCCCAGATTACCTTGTCACTGCAAACTCCAATTTAGTGATTATCACAGCAGGTGCACGCCAGATAAAAGGAGAAACATGCCTTGATTTAGTCCAGTGAAATGTGTCTGTCTTTAAATTAATGATTCTTAATATTATATAATACAGTCCCCGCTGCAAAATGATTATTGTTACCAAGCCAGGTCAGCTTTATTTTGACTGTTAATTGAAGAGTTTTTTGGGGAGTGGGGTTAGTAACAACTTTGTAGGAAAGAAGAATTTAATGAGTATTAAATCCTGTGCTACCAATATAATTCTAGAATCTCTTCCTGTTTTGTTGGTATAACACAGTGGCCCCCAACCTTTTTGGCACCAGGGACTAACTTTATGTAAGATAATTCTTCCACTGATGGGGGCTGGGGGCTGGGGGGTGGGGGATGGCCTCAGGATGATTCAAGCAAACCACATTTGTTGCATTTGCAGCTGCCCCCCAGCGCCAGCATCACCGCCTCAGCTCCACCCTAGATTATCAGGCGTTAGATTCTCGTAAGGAGCATGCTACCTGGATCCTTTGCATGTGCAGTTTACAGTAAGGTTCTTGCTCCTACGAGAATCCAGTGCCGCTGTTGTGACAGGAGGCAGAGCTCAGGCGGTGATGCCAGCCATAAATACAGATGAAGCTTTGCTCGCTCATCCACCGCCTACCTCCCACTGTGCAGGCCCAGGGCAGGGGGTGTCCAACAGGCCATGGACTGAGACCAGGACCAGTGCTGGTCCACGGCCTGGGACTTGGGGACCGCAGGTATAACGTGTTTTGCACTGTTGTAATCAGTGTATGTACTATAATGAAGGTTTCTTTAAATATTAGTGTATATGAAAAGATAATTTGCTTAATCATATGCTTTCAAGGTTTACATTCTAAAGGCTAAGGTTTGTATTCCAGATTACTGTGTGAAAGGTGAAAGTAGCACTATAGTTTACTGCCTGACTCTCCAAAATTGTATGACTTCTCACTGGTACATGTACAAGGGGGACAAATTCAAGATGTACTTTGGAGATATTAATAAAATGTGCACAACTACTGATAGATTATGTGTAGTAAGGGAAAGGGAGGAATCAAAAGTAACTTCTAGATTTTTCCTTTGAGTAACTGGATAGTAGTTCCATTTACCTGGGTTGGGATGCTTTCAGTGGGGTAGGAGTCAGTGAGGGAATGTTAGGTATGGGCTAGAAAAATCAAGATTTCCAGTTGGGACATGTTAAATTTGAGATATCTGAAAAGAGGAAATGTCAAACAGGTACCAGATTATGAGTCTGGAGATCAGTACTTTAGGGGTATTCAAATTTTATACTGTATTTTAAAATCATTTGGAATGGTTTTTCTCTGTGGGTAGGCCAAAACCAAATACATGACTAAGTATATTCATTTTAATTTTGATACTGAGGAACTGCTATTTAATTTTGTTTCACAATTTTATAAAATATTTGCATGGCTCCCACATCAAATCTAGATCATCCTAGCTCACAGCAACCTCAAACTCCTGGGCTCAAGCGATGCTCCTGCCTCAGCCTCCCGAGTAGCTGGGACTACAGGCATGCGCCACCATGCCCGGCTAATTTTTTCTATATATTTTTAGTTGTCCAATTAATTTCTTTCTAATTTTAGTAGAGACGGGGTCTTGCTCTTGCTTAGGCTGGTTTCGAACTCCTGAGCTCAAACGATCTGCCCGCCTCGGCCTCCCAGAGTGCTAGGATTACAGGTGTCAGCCACTGCGCCCGGCCTGTGAATAACATTTTATTTATTCTGAACGTCTTTTATTTCTTTTTCTTGTCTGACTGCCTTGGCTAAGACCTCTAATACAATATTTCCATGAAGTGCTGAGAATGAGCATCCTTGTCTTGTTCCCAATTTTTGGAGGAAAACATTTAGTTTTTCACCATTGAGTAGATGCTCTTTATCATGTTAAGAAAATTTCCTTCTATTCCTAATTTGTTGAGGGTTTTCATTATGAATAGTTGTGTTTGTTTCTTTTTTCTTTTTGTTTTTTTACTTATTTTGAATAGGTGTTGGATTTTGTCAAATGTTTTTTCTGTGTCTATTGAGG